GAATGTTGTGGTGTTTAGATACATAACATCTGGGAAGATTGTTGAGAGGTTTTGGACATTTTGTGACATGCCACAGGGTGATGCTGCAACTATATCATCCAATGTGCTAAGTTGCTTGGATAACATTCTACCTGGGACTCATGAAAAACAGAAGCTTGTTGCACAATGCTATGATGGTGCATCAGTAATGAGTGGCCAACATAGAGGTGTTCAGAGCATAGTAAAGGATGCATATCCCAATGCTCACTATGTTCATTGCTATGCCCACCAACTCAACCTGGTACTACAACAGGCTGTTTCACATATCACTGGTGTAAGAGTATTCTTTGCAAATTTAAATGCATTTTCAGTTTTTTTCTCTCGCTCTCCAAAGAGAGTATCATGCCTGGATGAATGTGTGGCCAGAAGAATTCCTCGCTCTGTGCAAACCAGATGGAATTTTCAAAGTAGAATTGTCTCAACTGTGTTTGAGCACAAGGATGATCTGATAAAGTGCTTTGAGATGATAATAGACACATGGAAAAGAGACCAAGTAAGTGTTCGTGAGGCAAGTGGCCTTCTTCATTGGCTTCAGGACAGAAACTTTTTAATTTATCTGGAGTTCTTCCAGCAGTTGATGCCACATGTAGATATTCTCTATGCTCAATTGCAAAAACGCCAGATCTCTGCAACATTCATTCAGACATGCATCCAGAATTTTGTCAAAGCTATCAACAATGTGAGAGATAAAGTTCCAGATATCTGTTCAATGACCTCATCTGCTGAGAGTGTGGATCCTCTTCCAAAAAGGCCCAGATTCCCCTACTCTGATGAAGAATTATCTGTGACACTGATAGAAGTCTCTGATGTTATAATATCACATTGCTGCTCAAGATTCAAATTCACTGAACATCTTACTGCTGCCACACTTTTCGAAAGTGGTTCATTTTCTTATTTTGAGCAATCCTTCCCAACCAAGGTCGTTGAAAATGCAGTGAAATCCTTTCCTTTCTTTGATGGAACCAAGCTACAATCAGAACTTTCTGTCATCTATAGCAGACCAGAATTTAGACAATGCTGTGGGGCTGTTCCATTGCTCCATCATCTCATGGAAAGCAACCTTGCAGACACATTTTCAGAAACTGTGCAACTGCTTAAAATCATAATGACAATTCCAATGTCATCCTGTGAAGCAGAGAGATGTTTCTCAACACTTAAGAGAATAAAGAATTTCCTGAGAAACACAATGTCTGAAGAAAGGTTGAATGCTTTGGCCATGCTCTCCATGGAAAAGAGCCTTATCCGAGATTCAACAGACTTTAACAAAAATGTAATTGAGATGTTTGCCCAGCTGAATAATAGAAGAGCCAAGTTCCTTTTTAAATAATCAATGACAAACTTTTGCAAACTTGTTAAACTTAAAGTTGATAGTTTCTGTTTTTTGTCCTCAGTATTTCTATTAGTTTATTTAATTATTCATATGCCAGTGTCTATATAATGTTTCTTTACAATTGCAAATTTGGTTTAACAAGAAATAACCTGCATGGAATTGGTTTTTAGCCCCTAATGAGCCACAAAATATTAACCCTTCACAATGGTACTTTGGATATTTTAACTTTCTAGTTTCTCAGTTAGTTTTAAATGGTAAGCATCACAGTTGATTGAAGTAAAATGATGATGTTTTAGAAATGAAGTGAGCAAAGTAGACTTTAGCAATGTGCCATGATTGCCATCAATTAAAATTCTTAGGACATTTTATGGAAATTGTATTAAAAAATGACAAAAAGAAATTTTAGTTACAAAGCTGTTTGAATAACATAATTTCTTTTTTTGAAACTGTGGCATCCAAGGTGGAAAGTATGTAAAACTAAGCAATTTTGAACACATTTATAACAAGTCTCTGTGCAAATTAAATACTTCTTGGTAGATTTAGATTTAAATTTTTAACTAACTTTTAGATCTTTGAGCATTGCATAACAAAAGTAATGACTTTTTCTCATGTTACTTATCTTCCGGGAACCAGGAGCATGGCTCTTAAATTTGTATTTGGCAACACCCAACACCTGACATTTTGCCCCCCAGCAAAAAGTCCCACCAGCCGCCACTGCAGGCACATCATTTTCACATGCAACAAACACTCTTGCTATAAGCTCTTGTTTTCAGCCAGTGACTCTGAGCCCTCTTGCACGCAGGAAGCTTTTCAGCTCTTCCACTCTCATTTGGGATATCATATCCAAGTCCATGATGGCCTCCAAAAGCGCTTCACCTGCTCAGTTCGTTGTTGAACTTTTAAATCGCTAGCTTTGCCAAATTCCGGCGCTTTGTACCTGTTTAAGCTTTTAAAAATGCTGTTCTAAAGACGACAGAATGAATCAACCAGGATAAAAAGCGAGTAAACAAACTTCAAATAAATTTTCCAGTCTATCCTCGCTCCTAAAACGAACACAGTCTTCGTTTCTGTTTTCCCTTAAAACCAACAATCTATGCGTTTTAGGGTCACCAACCATATGAGCACAGGGAAACTTAGCTATACATTCTCAGGCACGAGGATTTTCGCTTTTGCGTCCTACGTTATCAAAGGTAACTGACAATTCTGTTTTCGTTTTCACGAAAAAGCTATTAATTTAACAAGAAAATGCACCAAGCTGGGGGGGGGGGAGCAATAGTCTTCTAAGCGGACAAAATTTGTCGGTAAATTTCTGAAATTTCGCTACTTTGTCGAAAATTTTTAGAATGCCCCCTCCCTCCCTCTCTTAAACACCGCTCTGCTTTCCTGAACTTCATATTGATGAAAAAAATTGAGCCGAAAGAGCTAAAACTTACATTGAAAAATTAGTTAAACAGCTTAAAGCATGTCAAGAGTTAGGTGGAGTGACACGGCCGGAGAGCTAGTGGCTACACAAGAGTAGGATTGCAGCTATTGTGCTTGCCTGTTGTACTTCAAATCTGTGGTTATGAATTATTGAGAATTTGCCCAGATGCAGACTAGCATGTAGGCCTACTTCAAAATCCAGGTTAAAAAGGAGATTTTGTGGAAAATGCAAAGCTTTAAGTATTATAAAAGTGACTAGACGTCCCTTTAACCACCCCCACCCCCCCCCCACAACACACACACAAATGTACACACACTTAGCTCATGAAAAATTTTGAGCCAATTGACCATTGCTGTTCTGTGATATAAGTAGAAAGGCAAAGCCCTCCAATATTGTAACACTTATTTATTTTGCTTCTTAGGTAACCCTAATCAGCTTATTATTTTGAAACAGCCAACTTTTAATAAACTGGAAGTATCAGTTATGCAAAATCTGTGTTTGATATATTGCAGATGTTTATTAGTAACTGCAAATTTTACCTATTGATGTGGTAAAGATTCACAAACAATATTTTAAACCAGAATTTCATCTTGGTTGACCAAACAATGCGTAAAAGTAAAATAGCTAAAGCAAAAAAATTCAAGCCTATGCACTTTTAGGTTGAAATTAACTGAGCACACCGAAGTTTGAGGCATCACAAATATCCTGGAAGGTTTAGGAAGGGAAGGTTTCACATTATTATTTTTGAAAAGCTATGTTTCATGCACACAAAGTTTATGATTACAAAAAGTCTAAATCAGAGTGTATTGGGTATAGGGTGAATGTTGGTTGCTTAAGTCACATGCCTATTGGCAATACTGTCTTTAAGTCAATAAGGCCTTAGTTCCTCATGCCTGTAATAGTCAGAGTGAGTCAGGGTATGATCCAAAGTCTTCTAAGCTTATCAGCATACAAAGACAGCGATACAACTTTTTGTTTGGGAGGGGGGACAGCCCTTATAAATCAGTGAATCAACAGCCATATTTTACAAAATAAAAGTATGTTACTTATGCAATGTAAGTTTTTGAGGGGGGCCAAGGCCCCTCCAGCCCCCTGTACCTTGGTCCTTCTCAGTAATATGTCTGTTTGGGTTTAGCATCTCTCTGCCATATAAGGTCAATTTCACAAGGGTAGTATCTGAGGTTTTTGTTTGTAACTGAAAGTATTGTAATTATTTTGTTTGGAATAGGAATTCACTTTATACCCAACACTGTCTTGTTTTTAACACATATCTGATTTAGATGTTTATTTGCAGCTATTTTTACCTCCTGATGCTTCATTTTTATGCTTGATTGTCACTAAAATGGCTGGGGTAAGAAATCTTTTTCATAATAATCTAAGTTTTGGAATTATGGACTGCTTATTTCATAATGGTATGTTGCCATTAATTATGTTTTGAGTTTCATGAAATATAATGAGCTAATCATTATAGGATCAATTTTGTTTTTACCTGTTATACTTATTGCCTGAATACCATGAAATATTTTTCTCTCCATCATCACTCCAAACTATTTTGTCTCCTATTAGCTTTGTAAATGCTAGTTAATTCCAAATTTCTGGATGTCTAATAAAATGATGGGTGTGAGTACTAGAATTCCTGTTTTGTTTTAAGAAAACTGCACTTGTAATCTATTCTAATCATATTTAAAGAAACATTAAGCTATTGATCATATATAAACATGGCACAACTAGATGTTTGAACATTCAAAAGATAAATCAAATGGTGCTATTTGCTGTAAGCTAAGGCCACTTGTTGACATAGTTGAACAAATTTATCATTTCTTTTAACAAGCAAACTTACATATTAAACAGGGCAATTTAAGCAATTTTTAATCAAGTAGAGTTCTTTATCCTTACAGGTATTTAGATTCTGCTCAAACTGTGGCGTTGAGCAGCCTATTAGCAAAAAATTGTGTGGAAACTGCCAACAAAACCTCAGAAAACGCGAGAGTTTGGACAAGAAAACTTTGCTGGCTGAACGATACAAAAAAACAGCATTCCACTATTTGAAAGGAGCAATGAAAAAAAAGGCATGTTATATGTATATGTATACATACATACATGCATTGACAAATATATTCTGTTTTTGATGTTGACACATCTTTCCTTTTGTAAACATATTGAAAATTATTTCTGAATTTTCTTTGCACATGGGCCCACCTTTCAGAAATTGAGCATATGCTTTTAAACAGTTTTGATTTCTGTAGGTAGATGCTCTTCATGCAAAAGATTGTGAGGTAATAGTAATTGGCTACCACCGTGATGAGCAGAGGAGCAATCTCTGGTCTTATAGCCCAAAAGACAGTATTGGTGAAAAATTTTTGGAGCATGAGTTTGGGGAATATGTCGTTAAACTGTTTGCTGAGTATTTGGAAGGTAAATCACAAATTCACTTTCATTTTCATTACTAAATCTCTTTAAACTATACAATTATAACTAAAAGACTCAGCTTTCCTTCTAGACAAAGCCAATGATACTGACTATTCAGAAAGAGGTTTGTGTTTATATATTAATTTTTCTACCTGTAAAATATTTGTTTTTTAATTCTACATTTTACATCATATCAATTTTACTAAAATTTTAACCAAAATCGTTTATTTCCATGCTTTTTGTAAGATTTTATGAGAATGTTGAAGGAAATATTGTCAATTCAATGCTCCTTAATTTCCTTTTAGCAACTTCTGCAACATCATCAATATCGCCAGGTTTGAACATTTCAATCATTGTCGTTTTCATCCATGTATTTTGTTAGATCTTATGAGAATATTGATGGAAATATTGTCAAGTCAATGCTCCTCAATTTCTTTTTAGCATCTTCTGCAACGTCATCAATCTCAAGAGGTTTGAACATTTCAATCATTGTCGTTTTCATCCATGTATTTTGTTAGATCTTATGAGAATGTTGATGGAAATATTGTCAAGTCAATGCTCCTTAATTTCCTTTTAGCATCTTCTGCAACATCATCAATCTCAAGAGGTTTGAACATTTCAATCATTGTCGTTTTCATCCATGTATTTTGTTAGATCTTATGAGAATGTTGATGGAAATATTGTCAATTCAATGCTCCTTAATTTCCTTTTAGCAACTTCTGCAACATCATCAATCTCAAGAGGTTTGAACATTTCAATCATTGTCGTTTTCATCCATGTATTTTGTTCGATCTTATGAGAATATTGATGGAAATATTGTCAAGTCAATGCTCCTTAATTTCCTTTTAGCAACTTCTGCAACATCATCAATCTCAAGAGGTTTGAACATTTCAATCATTGTCGTTTTCATCCATGTATTTTGTTCGATCTTATGAGAATATTGATGGAAATATTGTCAAGTCAATGCTCCTTAATTTCCTTTTAGCAACTTCTGCAACATCATCAATATCGCCAGGTTTGAACATTTCAATCATTGTCCTTTTCATCCATGTATTTTGTTAGAACTTATGAGAATGTTGATGGAAATATTGTCAAGTCAATGCTCCTTAATTTCCTTTTAGCATCTTCTGCAACATCATCAATCTCAAGAGGTTTGAACATTTCAATCATTGTCGTTTTCATCCATGTATTTTGTTAGATCTTATGAGAATGTTGATGGAAATATTGTCAATTCAATGCTCCTTAATTTCCTTTTAGCATCTTCTGCAACATCATCAATCTCAAGAGGTTTGAACATTTCAATCATTGTCGTTTTCATCCATGTATTTTGTTAGATCTTATGAGAATGTTGATGGAAATATTGTCAAGTCAATGCTCCTTAATTTCCTTTTAGCATCTTCTGCAACATCATCAATCTCAAGAGGTTTGAACATTTCAATCATTGTCGTTTTCATCCATGTATTTTGTTCGATCTTATGAGAATATTGATGGAAATATTTTCAAGTCAATGATCCTTCATTTCCTTTTAGCATCTTCTGCAACATCATCAATCTCAAGAGGTTTGAACATTTCAATCATTGTCGTTTTCATCCATGTATTTTGTTCGATCTTATGAGAATGTTGATGGAAATATTGTCAAGTCAATGCTCCTCAATTTCCTTTTAGCATCTTCTGCAACATCATCAATCTCAAGAGGTTTGAACATTTCAATCATTGTCGTTTTCATCCATGTATTTTGTTCGATCTTATGAGAATGTTGATGAAAATATTGTCAAGTCAATGCTCCTTAATTTCCTTTTAGCATCTTCTGCAACATCATCAATATCGCCAGGTTTGAACATTTCAATCATTGTCGTTTTCATCCATGTATTTTGTTAGATCTTATGAGAATGTTGATGGAAATATTGCCAAGTCAATGCTCCTTAATTTCCTTTTAGCATTTTCTGCAACATCATCAATATCGCCAGGTTTGAACATTTCAATCATTGTCGTTTTCATCCATGTATTTTGTTAGATCTTATGAGAATATTGATGGAAATATTGTCAAGTCAATGCTCCTCAATTTCTTTTTAGCATCTTCTGCAACGTCATCAATCTCAAGAGGTTTGAACATTTCAATCATTGTCGTTTTCATCCATGTATTTTGTTCGATCTTATGATAATATTGATGGAAATATTGTCAAGTCAATGCTCCTTAATTTCCTTTTAGCAACTTCTGCAACATCATCAATCTCAAGAGGTTTGAACATTTCAATCATTGTCGTTTTCATCCATGTATTTTGTTCGATCTTATGAGAATATTGATGGAAATATTGTCAAGTCAAGGCTCCTTAATTTCCTTTTAGCAACTTCTGCAACATCATCAATATCGCCAGGTTTGAACATTTCAATCATTGTCGTTTTCATCCATGTATTTTGTTCGATCTTATGAGAATATTGATGGAAATATTGTCAAATCAATGCTCCTTAATTTCCTTTTAGCAACTTCTGCAACATCATCAATATCGCCAGGTTTGAACATTTCAATCATTATCGTTTTCATCCATGTATTTTGTTAGATCTTATGAGAATGTTGATGGAAATATTGTCAAGTCAATGCTCCTTAATTTCCTTTTAGCATCTTCTGCAACATCATCAATCTCAAGAGGTTTGAACATTTCAATCATTATCGTTTTCATCCATGTATTTTGTTCGATCTTATGAGAATATTGATGGAAATATTGTCAAATCAATGCTCCTTAATTTCCTTTTAGCATCTTCTGCAACATCATCAATCTCAAGAGGTTTGATTATTGGAATAACTGTAGACAATTCTTTCATTTTTTATTTTTCTTCCTATCAGTAAAAATGATTCAAGCCTATATTTTTTGTACCGAATTTATATATTTGTTATTAATTATATTGTTAAGGAGTTTCGTATTTCGTTGATGGTAATCCTGTTGCTGTTGGGAAAGTTTTGCCAAATATGAAGCAAAGTGATGGTGCAGTTATTCCCCCAGATCACGTTTGCGTGATGATTTTGGCTGTAACAAAGAAGATTGCTGCGCCAATTTGTTTCGATACCTCTTCCGAAGAAAAGAAGTTCCTGACCCCAGGCGTTTGCTATGCTCTTCCAAAAACATTTATTTTTTGTAACGTTGTTCGTGATGGAAAATTGGCATTTAAAGCATTAAACACCTGATATCTCTTTGTTGCTTATTTTTATATTTTTTTGAAGTGTATTGGGCTGTAGTATATAGTTTTTTATGTTTGAAGTAAACGCACTTTAGCGTAAAATGAAAGCTTTTTTTGTAGATATTGAAATTTACTGAAAGACTCGCGTATTAATTCCCCAGAAAATTGGATAACTGACAAAGATTTTTAACACTGCATACGTTCCTTCTTCTTAACAGTTGGCTTTGTTTATACTGAATGATTAGAAACTAAACCAAACAAATTTTGACAGTTTATTTAAAACATTATATTCTTGAGATTACAGAGCGTTTTAGACATTATAGAGCGCTTTGACTTATAAATGCTTACAGCCTTTAACTTACTCACTCACATCATAAAAATTAATTTTGAAGAAAACTCCATTATTAAATTATAATCCTTTACATATTTAATCAGTGACCGCAAAGATAATATATACTGAAATCGAACGAATACAGATAAACTAAAAAACACATTAACACAGAGCAGAGATGTATAATGGTTTTATCTAATTAATCTAGGCTTTACTTGGAATGTAGTCTATTTTTTAATAATGAAACAATAATTTTTACTGCAAATAAAATTTCTACGTAATTATTCTACAACAATAGCAACAAAATGCAATTGGTTAGGGCCACTTTACGATGTAAATCAATGGAAAGTGTAATTTATATAAAGCACACACCATGTCCGTTGTATGCCTATTGATTTACATAAGATGATCAAACTAACGAAGAGTGTTTATTGTCTTTTTTGAATTTCTGCTCTTAAAAGTGGTAAAAATCAACTTCATGGAAGGAAGGAAAAATCAACCAAATTTGATACCTCGGTTTTAGGTGTAGAGCTAAGTGACCTGTTCTTTAAGTAAACGCACAAGATATGGAAAATCAAATTGAAGCGTAGGTCTTCGTCAGCCTGTACGTTCTAAGGGTGTGATGTGTATTTTTGTCAAGATGTGGGGTTTGAGAAACTTTACTTAGAAGCAGAAGTAGTTGGTCGTTGGGAACCAGAAAGGATTCGTACAATAGCAGAAGATATCTTTGTTAATACAATAACATTTCCTTATATTTAATGAAATCGTAAAAATGTCAAGTTTCCATACACATTATCCGGAAGCTCCATTACCTCTGCCACCCAATAAATAAATGTGTCCAATTCTTTTTCGGCACAGATATGAATAGCTCCTCCAGCTGTACCCCCGTAAAAATGTGAATGTGTGTCTACAAAAGCAATCTTCTTTCCGTCACTGCAGAATACAGACGATTTCTCATTGCAAACGAATACTATTGCAAAGGGCTTCTTGAAAAACATCAAAAACTCCAACTGCCCTCGCAATGTCGACATGAAATGCTCGTTTTTTACCGAAACAGGCTTTTCCTCCTTCACAGTAAATGGTAACAATTCAGTCATACTTTCCGAGACTTCAGTTATGGAGCAATATCGATGAGGTAGGCTTCTGCGACACTTGTCGTAAATTTCATTTCCTTTAGCCATCGCTTCGTAAAGAATTTCGTTGAACTTTTTTTGTATTTGTTCTTCAAAAGGCCCAACTTCAATTTTTTCCTTCAAAAACAAGAAAGCAAAGATGACTGCAATGAAGGAGCAGGCATTACTGCCATTGCGACCATTGATAGTATTTTGGGAAAAACTATCTTCGTACATCAGAAGAATGCAGTCTTCACCCTTTCCGAAAAATCCCCCACGCACGATTTTAGGGGCAAATGAGAGGCTTCTGCGTTTGATCTCGATTGCGCGGAAACTACATTCCGTGTCTTCATCGTCACCATCGTTGCTATCGTCACCATCAATACTATCATCACACTCAACGTTTTCGCTACTTTGCAAATCGGCCGGTTGAATTTCCGATGGCTCTTGCCCTTCAGGTTCTGGTTCAAGAAACGTAAAACCTGTATCCTCTGTGCCTCCACTGACATGGGAAAAGGTCTCGTACCCCTTTCGCAGCTGGCTTTTCGCAAAATCGATGCCTTTGTTTAGAATCGACAAAAGACCACCACCTCCTTCACTAGCAGAAACACTATATCTTTTCGAACAATCCTTGTAATATAAAAAGCAAGAATTCAACCATTAAATTCACAAAAAGTTGCATCTCGGTCCTTGGATATAGCTATACTTATAACTTACAGATTTTCTTTTAGAAAACATAGATAGAACTTAGGGATCTAAGCCAGTTGTGTAGGTTTTGTTGGTTTAGGAGTGTGAACCTACAACGTTTAGATTTAAGCTGCGTACAATGCCTTTAGTAAAATCAAAGCGATCTTGTGGACAGGACAGAGCTGAATGGTATTCGAAGGGAACATGCGCCCTGCCAAAGCGGATTCCAAATGGACTTGGATCAATAGGGTGCTTTCAGCATAAAGTGCAAAACTGAATTGTTCTGACATTCTATTGAGAATGTGACCAAGTTTCTATTTCAGCTTTGTACTATAAAAATAATATAGTCAGCATTTTAACTATGGTCTAACAGTTTCAGATGACTTACTCTTCTTCCCTGAGCTACTTCTCCGTTATCTTGACAGCCAACCTCAGCTTCGCCTTCAATTGTTACTTTCGGGTCTGTTTAAAAGTTGACAAAGATATTATTTCAAGATACTGAGTGTTAAATTATCATGCACCCACTCCATTTTCTACAACTAATATGCATTAAGAAATTCCAATTTATTTTTGAAATCTAACGGCAAATGGTAGCATCAAAATTTGCAAATAAATTCCAAATAAATCTTATCTAGACCCTTCTATGATACCGGGGAGATTTTGCAAAGCTAGATCAATGCAGAATAATTTTGGAGCGAGCTGAGTACCCCGAAGTCAAAGAAATTTTAATGTGCCCCCTCCCTCTAGATATTACCACTGATAAGAAGATGCAATATCAAAAGATGTAATGCCCACCCTTGTTTGTCAACGTTTCAAGAAAAGCCGCTTTTCTCTCTTCGAGGGATGGAATCACTTTGTCGGCATAGAACTTGAGATAGTTTGCCATCTCCAAAGCTAAATGGTCCAGTTCTTCCTTGCATCTTTCGTCAAACATCATGCGCTCGACAACATGTCTCTTAGTGGCAATCGAAACTGTTACAACGGAAGTTGTTCAGAATTTACATATTAAGAATATGGCAAGAAACAAGCATTTCATATAAAAAAGGAAACACATTCCTGCACGGAAAAATGTGATAAATTAAAAAACCTAACTTGAATTAACAGTTTAATTTTTGGGTTTGGCTTATGGGTGTTTAAATAAGATTATATTCAGTCAAGGATCAGTTATTTGAAAGCACTGAATCAGGTACGCAGAAATATTTATTGTTTGCAGATTTTGCTGATCCTAAATTTGGCTGGCTATCGAATATTTATCCCAAATAGCCCAAAGTTGATATTTTCCCCTCTCTTATCCATTTTCGTTTGTTCACCACCAAAATTATCTGCGATAATAAGGCTGCAACCCAAGGTGCAAATTTTTAGACCCGATGAAGTAAAACATGACCAACGAGACATGCGTTAGACACGAAGGGCAATCCCAAACCTTCACGGGAAGGAAATCTACGACTCTCTTGCAGTGGTGGAGCCAAAGGGGGGGGCAAGGGGGCCAGAGTCCCCCGTCGGAGCTGCTTAGTCCACCCGTCGGAAGATATACAAAGAAAAGTTAAAAATTTGTCAGAGCAAGATTCTGCTACCGTTTTGTAGAATTTTTACAGAAGAGAAGGAGTAACTGACAACAGAGGTCCCATTGAGCATAAATGTTCAACCAGGTAACTCCTAAGTAATTTACACACCATTTCAGGGAACTCAACCCTTTCTTTCGGCACACCAACAGGGCCGCGGAGAGGATTTCTGGGCCCCGGGTCAAAACGAAAGAAAAAAGCAAGCCACACCGGAGGCGACCCTTTTAAGGGGTCCGGGGAAAATTCTTGAGACGATGGTTGCTAAAATTACGGCTAATTTGGTTGCTGAAATTGCGATGGTGGCTATTACCTCTCTACTCTTTTCAATAAAGGTTAAGGTATGACTGGTATTCAATCGTCACAATTCATGCATATTTCTTAACTATAGAATTTGCAATTCTTTGCATTTAAAAAATCTTAGGAAGTGAAAAACGTTTGAATACTGAATTTGATCAAAACGGACATGCTGCACCAAATAGATTTTCACTATTCAAATGATACACATCGCACATTAATGATTTAACTGTTAAATGATAAACTGTAACTAATGAGAACCAACTCTGCATTACAATATTTCAGGGTTGGGTGCGTGAGTGGCGTGAATGATTTCCAGAAAATCAAGTAAAACCGTCCAATAGCGTTCTGCCTGTAGATAGTAATTCTAAGAGTAAGTTTGTATTGTAAAGGTAAATAAATTGATCCAATGAGTGCCTAAGTAACTTGACCTACCTACGTAAAAAGGTTCCTATTCTGCTTCATGATTAAATAACGTTTTGTTTTAATACTCAGACAAGTTCAGAATGTCGAGAATAAAGAAAAATCACGGAAAGAGATCTACAAGAGCTTTCTTAAAATGTGTCTTTCCAGGGGAATTTTGTTTAAAAGCGATTTCCCCACAAAAATATTAATACTGCACTAAGTACTAAGTAGCTGTTCTTTCTTGTTTGCTAAATTCGTGTCCTGTCATAGTCTTTGTGCGTGTCGTTTTGCAACTGGGATTCCATGTTTCCTTTCCAAAATCCTAGCCCTTTCTGTCGGAAAGTCGAGTCCCTCCGTCATAGATTTTCTAGCGCCACCACTACTTGATGATGTAAAGATTACTTGATATCTTTTTCTTTCTTTTTCGGCAGAAAAACATGTTTCTAGAAACTTTTCCCCTTTTTTCATCCCGCCACTAACCATAACACTTTGCTTATTCCAACAAGCCCCTTGCCATACTTTTATATCTAGCCTATTTTCCGACATCGTTCCCCTGTTATTTTGGATTAGGTTTATTTCAATGGTATTTTCGTTTGTAACCTATTTCATTATATTTATACTCCAAAGATAAGTACAATTTTGGTAGGAACCAAAACAACTAATTCAACCAAGAAACTTAATGGCTTGGTGTTATATGTCATGTCACTCCCGTGGCCCTCTGGCCGTTGGGGCACTTGGATGAGTTCACAGTCTTCCTCCACCTTCCGCGATCCCTTGCTACCCTCATGCACGACACCACGCTCTTCCCGGTCCAATTGGCGATGTCGCTCAGCCACGTGTTCCTGGGTCGCCCTCTGCCTCTGCTACTTTCTACCGCTCCGTGCATTATGTCATGAGCTAGAGTTCCATTCTGTCTAGTGATGTGGCCAAACCATTGCAATTTGCGTCTTCTCGTCGTCACCAGAAGTGGTTCGTAGTTGCCAATTAGTTGCCTTATTCTTTGTTCCACTTCCACATTCGTGATTTTCTGCTTCCACGTTATCCCAAGCACTCTCCTGAAGCAGCGAAGTTCAAAGGCGTAGATTCTTTTCTCCAAACATTTGTTGTAGGTCCATGATTCACATCCGTATAAGGCAATCGATGTTACCAGGGATTTCAACAAGTTTATCTTGATCGCGGTAGAAATTCCATTCGAATTCCATAGTCTGTTCAATTTTGCAAGCTGGTTGGTAGCAATTGCTAGCCTCTTCTTGATTTCGTGCTCTGAAGTAACATCTTCGTTCAATGTCGAACCGAGGTACTGGAAAGTCTTCACTTCCTCCAGCTCTGTTCCGTCAACCTTGATTATGGTGCCATTGGCTACTTCAGCTGCAATCCTAGAAGTCACCAGTGTTTTGCTTTTTTCAGCGCTGATTTCCATCCCATACTTTCTTGCTGTTGTGTCCAGTCTTTTGGTGAGCTCTTCCAGCTCCTCCTTAGTACCAGCAATGAGGTCAATGTCATCTGCAAACCGCAGATTTGTTATCTGTCTTCCAGAGACCCTTACTGTTCCCGAGTAGTTGTCAAGCGTGTCATAATTTGTTCCAGAAAGATATTGAACAAGCACGGGGACAGAATGCACCCTTGACGCACACCGACTGTCGTCTGAAACCACTCCATGGTACCATTACTACCTGTCAGCACAGCGTTACTATTGTCATTGTACAGTGATTCTATCACATTGACCAGTCCAGCACCGACATTGTGCTTCTTCATCACTAGCCAAAGTGCTTTCCTCCACACTCTATCGAATGCTTTTTTAAAGTCGATGAAGTTGTGGTGCATCTCCATCTGGTGGTCACGGTATTTTTCTCCAAGGATTCTCACGCTTACAATCTGTTCCACAGTGCTCCGCCCACTCCTGAACCCAGCTTGCTCCTCAGCCAGTATCTCCTCAGCCTTTGTCTTCAACCGGTTATTGATTATCTTCAGTAAGACTTTACTTGGATGGCTGATGAGACTAATCGTTCTATAGTTGGTACATTTCTTCAGATCCCCCTTCTTAGCAAGTGGCAGAATTAGTGATTTGGTCCATTGTGTTGGCCATTTTCCGCTTTTCCATACCAGATTACAAATTTTATGCAGTATCTCGATTGTGTCTCCTCCACCAAACTTGAGTAGTTCCGACGGTATGTTGTCGAAACCGGCAGCTTTACCATTCTTCAAAGATCTCACAGCTTCTTCGATCTCACTCTTTAGGATATCAGGCTCACATTCTTCTTGACCTGGGCCTCCTCACTCCAGCACAGTCGCAATGTCATCACTCGTTGCGATCGGGTAGCTGTAGAGTTCTTGGATGTATTCTGTCCATCTCTTTTCGATTTTTGTTGCCTCAGTTAGCAACTCCCCATTAGCATCTTCTATCACTAAGACTCTTGCAGTCTTCTCGTTGGTTAGTTCCTTGACTACTCTGTAAGCAGTCCTAGAATCATTTCTTTCGAATGCTGTTGTGACTTCTACACACTTCTTCTGCACAAATTCCTCTTTCGCCTTCTTAATTTCTCTCCTCACTAAATTGTTGGCAGCTCTGTATTTTTTGTTACATTCCTCGTCTTTGAATTTGTCTGCTTCTAGTCTTCTTCTTTCATCACATTTCTCCATTATTTCATTTGTCATCCAAGGTTGTTTCTTCTTCTTTTCCTTTCCAAGTGTTTCCATCGCAACTTCATTCATTCCTTCAGTGAACAAGTCTGTAATCTGTTGCATTTCAGTCATTTCCAATAGTGGTGCAAATTTTCCACCTATTTTAATTCTGAAGTTTTCTAATGTCTCTGCATCGCTCAGTCGACTTGTGTCATATCTCACTCTGGAAGCTGGTGGTCTTCGTATCTTTTTTAATTTCAACTTCATTGTTGTCATTACAAGAGTATGATCACTGCCTATGTCGGCTCCTGGGAAGGATCTTGTCTTGTGACCATTAACGCTGCTGGAGCATTGTCTCTCAACCAGGATGTAGTCGATCTGGCTTTTAGTGATGCCGTCTGGAGCAACCCATGTCACTCTTCTTGATTTCTTGTGCTTGTACTTTGTGTTGACAATGACCATGTTATGTAGCTTAGCAAACTCCAGCAACCGTAGACCTCTCTCGTTAGTGCTTCCGAGTCCAAACTTACCAGCTGTTCCTGGCCATTCTACATGAGCATCTGGTCCCACTCTAGCATTCCAATCACTCATCACTATGAGGATGTCCTTCTTCGGGATGTTTCTCAATGTCGCCTCTATTTGGTTGTAGAAAATCTCGAGATCTTCTTCGTTGCTATCTGAGGTTGGAGCATACACTTGAATGATAGACAGGTTTCTCGGCGCTGTCTGTAGCCTGATCCGTATGATTCTGCTTGATATCGGTTCGCATTCCATCACCATGTTCACAGTCTCTTTATGTACGATGAAGCCTACTCCTGCTTGTTTCTTCAATTTGTCGCCACTCCACCATACTTTGTGCCCGTCGTCAGAGACTGTTTCACCATTATTTAGCCATCTCATTTCCGCAATGCCCAGCACGCTCCATTTGTAATTTTCCATTTCATGTTCCAGCTCGTTCAGCTTTCCAGGTGCCGATAGTGTTCTCACATTCCACGTACCAATGGTGACTTCTTGCTTCGCAATGTTAAGGTTCCCGCCAGTAACATACTTTCCGCCTGATGCGCCCTGGTGAGAACCGACGCCAGATGCTGCCGTTGTTGACCTGGGCCCCGACCGATCCGGTATGGTATTAGAATTTGGTGTACTCATCATTGTGTTAAGGTGGAGATAATCCGGTGGTTTCCATCCCCTCTCCGGATATGGATGGCCGTTGGCTCCGTGGAGCTCATCCGCCCTTTGTCAGGTCTTGTTTTTTGTCCTGCGGGGTGTCCACACACCCACCTCACAAGATCACCAGAGTGACCAAGTGGGGGAGCCGGTTTAGTCGCCGACGACCCGACCATGGAACAGGTTGTACTGGTTTACATGTTACCAGTAGCAGGCGAACCTGACCTGACCTTAATATATACAAATCCCCCTTCTTAGCAAGGTTTTATATACAAATCGAAAAAGGTTTAGCCAAATACATCTGCGCCCTCACAATAGAAGAAAAGCGTTGTATCATTGGGGGCAAAATATTCATAAATTGTTGATGATTCTCAACTACGCAGTGAAAACCTTTGGTAGGGCTTATTTTGAAATTAATGACACACTTAAATGAAGCTGTGTAAGGTTCAATGGCGAAGATAAAAACGTTTGTTGGGGTGGCGGTGAGATCCCCAGATTTGCCGACAAAAATGGTGCAACTGTTGGTATTAACACGAGTCTAAACTGCTTTGAGTGAAATCTCGAGACATTTGTCTTTCATTTCTTAAAATTATACCTGCAGTAGAATTTTCTGTGGCATATATTCCCTGGTCCGACAGTGCACTTTGCAAAGTAGCCTCAGCTTCATTAAAATGAACAGCAATCTCGTTGTAGAGCAAAATAGTATTCTCCATGTCTATTTTAATTCTACTCATGTTCTTCAATAACCGTATGTATTCTTTCGAAGTGTCTAAAAAATTGTACATAGATTGGTTTGCAAAAGATATGAAAAATGTTTAAACAACGTATTGGTGTAGATATAAAACAGAAAGCACGCATTTTTCTTTTCTCATTATCTTGACCTTGAACAGAAAACGTGTTATAACTATGCAAGAAAAAAGGAAAAAACAACTTCCTTCGAAAAATTAATAGTTCATAGGGCAAATAATTGTAGCTAGTAGAAGTTTAAACTTTCAAGCAGTATCTTCTTGTTTCCAAATTGTTTTGGAAAAAACAATCTTCCGTCTGTAATTCTGTGTCTCCAGAAGTACCGCTTCTGAAAAAACTATTCCATAAGTTAATCATTCATAAAACTTACTGACAGAAACTTGTTGTGTACCAAGTAAAGAAAAGGTTACAGCTGGTGATTAAAAGAAATGAAGAGCATAGAAATATCTATGGACAAACACTGACTTTCATTAAAAAATTTGCAGGTTTTTTCTGTTAGAATTGATACTCATCCTGTCAACTTTTTTAGCATTCATATTCAAATTCTCCAAAGAAACCCGTTTTCAATGCAACTGGGGCATGAGAAAAGTCTGGAGGCGTCTTTTGAGGTTGTCCAGGGTTACAGAATCAGGAAGACCGAATTCATTCTGGGCATCGACTACTTTCTGCTTTGTTTTCTCAATTTGTCTAAGATCCGGCTTTTTTCGCTTAGATAATAACGAGGCCTCATAATAAAGGTAAATTCGTCGAAACTCATGTTCGTTAGGCAAATGAATAGTACTCGGCAAGGAATCACACACCACCAACTCAGCTAGATGAAGGCAAACCTTTTCCGGTCGAGAAAAGTTTCGACAATCAGTTATAGCTGCTTTCTTGCCTGTAAAAGGGACAAAACTGAAAAGTTGAGTGTGAAAAATAATCTTTGTTTTAAAGTATTTTGATTATTCCTTTTGCACACTGTTTATATATTGTCTTCCATTTCTCTATAGTTATTCTACACCAATGGACATTTCTAGGCACATAACCCTTTATCAAATAATCTACAGTCCCGTAACTAACAAATACGCGAACAATTAATTGAGACTAACATAGAAATCTCGATTATCATACAGCTTTAGACCAAGCCTACTGAAATATTGTGAAAAAAATGACTGAATAAATAAAGCAAATACCCTTTGCATAGTCACGCAGCTCTTCAAACCAAACTTTATGTTTCACTATACTCAAGTTGATGGCTTTTTCCTCACAGTAAAGCTCCAATTCTTTTCAGGAATCTTGCATCGTTGTCAGTACCTTGTAAGAGATTCTAGATAGTGATTAGCCAAATATAAACAGAGCATTGAAAAATGGTCTAACATTCGACCGCATTAACTTTGAGTCTGTTTTAGTAAATGTCAAGAGGACGAATATGGCAATATAGTTTGGTACATACGGTTTTCCTTCGCTTTACTAATGCTTTTGGCATATCAAAGATGCATCTTTGATTCCAACTAAGAATCATCTCAGTCAAATACTCTTCCCGAACTGAAAATGATCAAAGAAGAAAAAGATAGAAAAAACTCACATTCAAAATTTTTTAAAGTAAGTAGCGAACAATGATTCAGGTATCAGATTTAGATCAGATATGACAGTCAGAATGAATAACGAATATAGTTAAAAAGAATAGCAATATAAAGAAGGTATGGGGCAGAACATGAAATAAAGTTAATTAATATTCGCTGTCTCGTTTCAAGCTATGATTACCTTCCGACTTCATTCTTTGAGTTATACAGCTAGCACTGGATAAAAAGCTGTTCACTATCTCGCAGTCTTCACCGTGACTTCTACCGATTCCCTCTTTGAACCTGCCTCCTTCGAATAGCTAAAATATTATAATCTTAAAAATAAAACAAATGCAAGTCAAAGGCATAAACAAATAGCTTCAAAAAAGTTTTTTACGATTTTCAAAAAAGTCTAAAACTTCATGCCTGACACGTCCAGTCATGTCCAGCACCATGCATAAGATTGACTGCAAATGTGACTTTCGCCGCGTTAACTGGGTCAATCTTCTCCACCCACGTCTTGTATCTACAAGCAATATCCTGAAAAAAGAATTTAGCTTCTCTTTTCAACACATCATTCAGATGCCAAAAATGATGGTAGGCAAAAAGCTCTCCCTGGAACATATTGAGCGCTTTTTGTGCAACTTGGTGCCTACAGCTGCTAAACAAAAGACCAGTCTCATCTAGCATCTTTCTCTTTGCCTTGTTTGCAGCAGCTTCCCAAACGCTGTTCCCACATTGATTGTCCGTCTTCATTTTCTGTAATGTAAAGACTTGATTTGACAAACTGATTTACCCTATATATTGATGTAGAAAGATTATATCTAAGATAACAGCACAACTTCTAGAAAAACTTACAGCTATGAGCAAATTAGCGCCAACATCTAAAACACTGATATTAAATTTCAAATTTAAATACTAGTTACCAATGAAATAAAACAATATAACCTAAATTACAATTATGTTCTAAAAAACACAATTTACAAAAAAACCCAGGTATTTATAATTCTCTTAAACTATTGTTTTCAACGAAAACTTCTTAATGAAAACTGGATTCAAATGGCTTTGAATACTTCAATCATTAGCAGTTGCAGATGGCGCTGATGAGCAGTTAAACTTCTTCTTGTAGTTCAACTTCACTATCTTTGCATACCAATCGCATTGCTCTATCAGGAATGCTATTAACTATCACATTGATAGCCCTGTTGTGAAACATCCATACAAGTGGGCAATAATTGAATTGTGATATTATAAAACAACCATCGAAATCCCTAATTTTATAGGACCCAATAAGTTTGATGTTCGATTATATGTGTGGAGCGTATGATGTACGATTTTGCATATTTCTTCAACATGCTTCTTAAAACTATTTTTTGCTAAAAATAACACTAACAACAAGAGGTCGGCTATATTTTTCGATGTGCAGTAAGCTGATAGCACTTCAGCAGGCTTAAATAACTTACCTTGCATCCTGTCCTTCTATACAAATCTCCCACATGATAGTCAACATTTTCATTCGAAAAAACAAACCGTTCGCCATAATACGTTGGTCGATGACGCCTTGAATAAAACATCGTTGAAATGATAAGAAGTCGTACCGTTGGGGTGGCATTAACATGTCTTAATGGCATTAATGGAAATAACTTTGTTTCTTGTCTGTCGTATAGTGCTTGATGCCACATAGGAAGAATTTTAGATGGTTTGTTGTAGAGAACAAGACGACTCAAAATTGCAACTTCGAGTTTAACATTTAATGGGATCATTAGACAACAGTGTACGGTATCAGATATGATATTGTATACGCAATAATATACCTTCCACTTTGTTGATATCTTCGTAGTTTAGAGTTTCCATCAATATGTGACGTCAACTGTGAAACGGAGCATGGAGGACATTGCATCCAATCCTTTCCAGCAAGCAAGTCAAGCTCGTATTTGCAGAACTTCCATTCTCTGGAAGCACGTTGAAAGGATGACGAATTGATAGTTGCCGACTATAAATTTCAAGGTTCCTTTTTCAGTTAATTTCTGTTATAAGTAACATGATAAAAATAGCAAAGCTAATACAATAATTCAGCTAAACAGCAAATTAAAACAAAACATACCCGTGCATTATCCCGGGACAGCTGACTGAGAACTTGAAGAAACCCTGTTTCTGAGCACTTCGACTGGTGACTCTGCTGTAAGTTCCAAAAGTCAAGGAGTTCAACAGCATACATACAGTTGATGTTGATGGTGGAGCCAGGCCAGTAGCCATTTCTCATGACTGTTTGTATGTCCAAATAAGTTTGAACGAACCCGCAAAACTTACACTCCACTGGTTGAACAATGACGTCAAGGCGACCTGCAAAGACATTGTTTGCTATGAATGGCAAAGAAGATTTTAATTGAACTGATGAGTCAAATAACATTTATAAACATGATATATCCAAGCTTTCTGGAATCGTTGTAGAATAATGGTTTGAGCATCAAATTGTAAAATGAACTGATTTAGGGGCTTGAGAAACAATAGGAGTGTAAGAGTTAATGATGCTGTAAAGATGAGTAACATATCTGTAGTATTAGAGATATTGAAAATTGCAAGTATGGTTTAAATGCAGCCAAAAGGCAACAAACACTATAAATTTTCATTTTGCGATTTCATATAATCTATTATAAGCTATACAAAATATTCTTCTTTTGAAAAGAAGTCCAGGGGAGAAAACCTTTGTGAGTAATGACAGTAACAGGAAACCCATCATTATGTGTGAAGTAGTCTTCATCGCTGCTGTAAGTATCTTCGCATGAAACACACGAGAAATGGCGCAGAGGTAAATATTTGCACCCTAAAATTTATAAAAAATGAGTACAACAATATTTAGTAGACTAGAAATACAAAATGCACTGTATCTACTGAATACAATGAGCTTTTTTAAGAAGAAAAATATTCGCATAAGCATTCTAAACACTGAGTGGCTTTCATCAATAAAGGACAAAGAAATTTATAGATATTTTGGTGCGACAAAGGTGAAGCTAGGAATGAACCCGGCCTAACATCTTAAAGGAACAGGAAACTACTCAAAGGTTCTGTAGATCCTATCCAGTTGCATGTTTTATCTGTTCTTCAAAAAAAGAATGATGTGTCATTCAGAACGTGTAAAACATTGATTCTCTCCAAGGTTGATTCCAATCATTATCAGCTGAAAAATTGCACAGCTGCAGTAGCAGCAAGTTGATTACAAAGATACACCAGTTACCAGGTGGCTGATAAACAGGTCAATCACACAATGGCTTATAAAACAACTTTTTAAAAAATTAACAGATCCCTGGAATATGTAATAGCTGATTCATACGTATTTCTTTCAACTGGTTTTCCTTTATTGTTTACATAAGGAGCTACTGGCTGCAAAAAACCATTTGTTGCAGCAAGTCGATCATGGAGTGGCTGATTGCAGTGAACAGTTTCATCGCAATCTGAACAACAGCAGGCAACAGGAGAGCAATCTGTACAACATATAACTGCTGCATTGACGTGGCATATCTGGCAAACACCAAGATTTGCATCAAAATGTTTTACAACATTTTGAAAAAGAGTGCTCCTTTTTGAGTCCCAGTTTTCATTTTCTGAAGCAACTCTTGACGACCATGACTGACTGGGCTTTCCAATATTTTTTGAAAACATAGATCTGCATTTTTCAAGGACTTCACTTTAATGCTAAAATATTGCAAAGAATATAAGAATTAATGTGTAGGAAGAAAAATGTAAGAATGAGTAAGATATCTCCTAGATACACTATAATCATTGCACAGTTATAATCATTAAAGAAAAAAAAGCAAGGGTTTTTATGTTCAAATTGTGAATGGATATGATATACATAAAGAAAACTTAACTTTTGACACCCTAATCTAGATTCTGATAGAGAAAATTTCAAAAGCTTCAATACAACAGTTGAAGGTTATGTGCAAATTGAAGTATGCAAAGATGGATAAAAGAACCAAAACACAATAAATTTGTTTTCTCAGGCATCGATTCTACAGTAAAGATTTGGAGAAAATTTCACTTATTCCAAACCTTTATCAGGGATAACTTCCTGGTTACTTTCAGACCTGAAATTCTGGGCTGCAGATGGTCCATTGTCATCTGTTTGATAAAAAGTGAAACACAAAATAACTTAAAGCTAAGCACAAACTTTCTATCTTCAATTGACTTATTATTGCCATGGAAACATATTAGAAAGCTGAGAATAGAGGACAAATCATCTAATGAACAGCAATTAAAATGGTTTTCATATTGAGATCAGTCAAGGCCCCCTCGTCACTACTTCTTTAGCATCAGGTTCTGAATAAACCCCCTTCTCCCCCTTTTCAAATAAAATGTCTTTAATATTATGCTGTCTAACTTGAAAACACAGTTCAAGGTACTGGTTGAAGGATTAATAAGAATTGCTGTGTACTGGGTTTGCTTGCTCAATGTCAAACACATCCACATTTAACTAATGTTAGGTTAGGATTTTACTATAGTTTATCGGTGTATATCTGGCATGAGACTCACAGGCCCTCGTTTGCAGAGTGTGGCTGATTTTGATACATTTTTGGCTACACAAACAGCTGAAATTCCGCAAAAATCACCCTGAAATTCCAGGTGCACCAATATAATTCAATACATTTTTAGATGTGCTCTAAGCACTAGCATGTCTGCATCTTGAGTTGAAATTGCTTTGCTCTGCAAACTGGTTTGAGGCTCAGGCATTGATTTACTCTTATTGTCTAAGATATATCATGAAATGGTTTGCTACTGCATTTTATTTATGAGAATAATTTTGATGAGACGTCTTTTGGAACTTACAGCACGTTCATTAGAACCCATGTTTGGTATCACAATTTTTATGACCTTGAGAGTCGGTCATTTAAAAAAGATAAATACAATAAAACTGCAACATCACCTTCTGTCTCAAACCAGTCTGATTCGTAGGGTCTGTCTGCGTTCGTGTTGTACCCTCTCTGTTTTCTTGTAGCGTAGGCCTCTCTCTCTTTACGGTTCCGCCCGCGTCTGATATCTGAATGTTTTTTTGTTAAGTCACAGATAACATTATATTTTTTCTTTTTCTTAAAATGCTTCTTTGAGCAATTTTTAAGCTTCTCACAAACTTTCTCCGCTCGACTCTTACTGCCAAAGCTTCGGTCCTCTCCGTCCGACATTCCAGACAACCACAACCACTGGTATCGATGACACATTAAAAACGCATAGATTGTTGGTTTTAAGGGAAAACAGAAACGAAGAATGTGTTCGTTTTAGGGACGAGGACAACCTGTCTTTCGGGAGGTTTCTAGCTGTAGTAAATTTAGATTCTTATGTAATAGGTTGCTAACGTCATCATGACAGAGCTTTCAGGTAAATTCTAATTATAGTTTTGTGGACTCATGCTTATAAAAAGGTTGTAGAACTTTCCATTAGAATTGTATATATACCTGTAAACTTTCGGTAGGACTTAGTTACGAATTACGAATCATCATTGAGAGTTTAACAAAATTGTGAGTTATTTGGTGTCACTGGGAATTCTATTCGAGCACAGGGCTATCTAAGCAGAATTCCCCACACTAAAAGTGGCGACCCTGCCAGGACATTGAACAAGAAAACAAGCTGGAAACACTAGTACAACAAAATGGCAGTCCAGAACAATTTTCAAAGATAATTTTTACTGAAACAAATACTTCTGGAAGAAATCTCGGAGAATTTACGGTCACAGGACATCGAGGAAGTGCAGTTATCGTTGGAAAGAGTGACTCAAGCAATAAAAGAACTAGAAACAGGAAAGGACAAAGCAATGAACTGCATTATGGAAACGGAAGATCTAACCATTGAAGCACTATGAGAATGGTCTCAAAAACAAAAGAAAGAAATCAACCCATTCAAAGAGATGAGAACTCAACTGAGAGAGAGAATAAACGTGATACAGAAAAGGGAAAATGAACACAAGCTCCAGGAAGATCTCGAAAAACAGCGACAGATGATGGAACAAGCAGCAAGGCTTACAAAACAGCAACAACAACAACAGGAAGAGGCACGCGAGAAGCAAATACAAATGGAAGAAAATTGGATGCGCAGAAAACTACAAATGGAGCAAGAAAACGCCAAATCACACAATATGGAACTAGCCCAGAAACAGCCAACAGTGAAATTGTAGAAATAGACAATAACACCATTTCAAGGGGATTTCAAGGATTGGTTTCGCTTCTGGAACCAGTTTACAGTAGAAGTGGACGGATCAGGAATAGCGGAGATTAGCAAATTCAACTATTTGATGGAGCTAGTGCAAGTAAAGCCCCGTGATGACATTCTTGGATTGCCGCACACGCCTGACGGATACGAGGAAGTGAAGAGGATACTGGAGACCAATTATGGAAAAGACATCAAAGTCAGAAAAGCGCTGATTCAAGAACTTGTAGGCCTGGGGCAAATCGTTAACGTCAACCAAACAAGAGATATACACGAGTTCTACAACAAACTGGCAAGGATTGTACGAACCTTGGCGACAATGAAGAAACTACAGACAGCACAAAGTCATGTCTACACCATTATGGACAAGCTTGGACCGGTAAAAGAGGCCTTGGTTTCTAAAGACGATGACTGGGAGGAATGGGACTTAGAGCAACTCGTAGAGAACCTGAGAAAATACGTGGACAGTAACAGCAGAATCCAGTTTGCAAGCAAGCAGGAGGTCAGCAGAGCCTAAGAGAGACTTCAAGGGCAGTGACAGGGTGATGTTGGCCAGCGCATCGCAGAAGAACTTCCAAACTATCTGTGTTTACTGTGGAAAAAACAATCACCGTAGCAAGGACTGCTTCAAGGTTTTAGATGTAGCACATAGAAAGGAATTGCTGAAGTCAAAGGACCTATGCTTCAACTGTAAAAGTGCGGGTCACGTGGCATCAAAGTGCAGATCAAGAGGGTGTATTAAATGCGGAGGACGACATCATACATCGGTTTGTGACAGCAGCAGCCCATTCGGAGGAGAACAGGCCAGTAGTTCAGCATCATATCTTGCCAATGAGAAGGGAAAGAGAGCAATGGAGGAAACCACGACCATCCATGCAACACTGATGGCCAAAGTAAATGGCATAGAGGCAAGGATAATGCTCGATAGTGGCGCTGGAAGCTCTTACATCTGCACAAATCTAATTCGACAAATTAACATACGCCCCTTCAAAACCGAAAGAAGAGCAACCGAGCAGATGTATGGCACGGTAGTCAAACTGGTGGAACTGTATCGAGTGACAGTAGCATCCAACGCAGTAGAAGGTTTCACTATGGAACTGAAGTGCATCAATGGAGAAAAGGACGTGTTGACATTCCTGACAAATCCCGGCATCAGTGAACTCAAGAAGAAGTACTGGAAATTACGAAGATTGCAATTCAGCGATGAAGAAGCAACTGAAAGCTGGAAGAATATGATGCAAATATGAGGGAGCAGTTGGATAAAGGGATCATAGAGAGGGTTCCAGATAAACTTACTGGCGAAATAGTACATTGGATCCCACACCAAGCAGTGATAAGGGACAACGCAGAATCCACCAAGCTTCGGATCGTGTATGATTGTTCAGCAAGGAACACTTCACAAGATCCTTCCTTGAACGACCTGCTGGAAACCGGACCGCCTTTACAGCTGTTGATATTCGACATTCTCTTGAAGAATAGAATGCATCAGTATTGTATCACGGGAGACATACAGAAGGCCTTCTTACAGATCAAAATCCAACCACAAGATAGGGATGCTCTACGCCTATTGTGGTACAACGATTTGGAAAGCAGAACGATCGAAGAATACCGTTTCACTCGAGTGATATTTGGGTCTGCCTCAAGTCCTTACATTTTGGGGGCGACGTTAAGCAAGCATCTGGATCTTTACAAAGACAAGTATCCAAAGACTGTGGAACATTTGCAGAAGAATACGTATGTTGATGACGTCCAATGTTCAGCCGACAACAAGGAAGAGCTGATCAGATTCAAAGAAGAAAGTAGGGAGATTATGGCAGCCGGTGGCTTCACCTTACACAAATGGCACAGCAACGCAGATCTAGTAGAGCATAACGAAGAAGTAGGTCAAGAGGCCAATGTAGAAGAAACATATGCAAAAACCACTGTTGGAACACACGCTGACGAAACAAACATCCTTGGAATAAAATGGAACAAGTCAAAGGACATGATCGAAATCAGTTTCGAACATTGCATTGAAGGCTTGGATGGTGATATTGTAACAAAGAGGAAAATGCTTTCAGCAATAAACTGAATTTTTGACCCATTAGGAATCGCAGCACCGGTGATCATTGTTGGGAAGATCATATACAGTGAAGTATGTCTACTGAGAGTGTCATGGGATGAAGAATTACCGAAAGATATTCAAGATTGCTGGAACCGATGGATAAAGAAGCTGGAGCAATGTCCAACAATATCTATTCCCAGAAGTGTGACAAAAGAAAACCCATCAAAAATGACTGTGCATGGATTCTCTGATGCTAGTAAATTGGCAGTTGCTGCAGCCGTGTATGTGGTTTCTCATTACGAAGGTATCCAGGCAGAAAGCAAGCTGTTAGTAGCAAAATCAAGGATTGCCCCAAGAGCTATGTCGATCCCGCGACTCGAATTAACAGCAGCACACATGCTTAGCCGACTGATGAGTCACCTAAAGAACACACTGTCTGATTGTACAATAAGTGAAATTCACGGATAGGTTGACAGTACAACCGTGTTACACTGGCTACAGGGTCAAGGAAGATGGAGTCAGTACGTGAGAAACAGAACCAGAGCCATCCAAGAGAAGGATTTCATTCCGTGGCACTACGTCCCAACTGACGATAATCCGGCAGACCTTGGGAGCAGGGGAGTCAGCCCCAAGAAACTTGATCGATTTTGGAAGGAAGGACCTCTTTGGCTCATAAACAACGAAGAATGGCCTGAGCAACCTGAAGTACGAGAGACGAGTCAGTCACTGAAAGAAAAGTTGGGAAGCAAGGAAAAGCAGCTGATGGCCACAGAACCAGAAACAAACCACCTCGAAACACTGCTGCTTAAACATCCTTACAACAAGATGCTAAGAATTACAGCGTATATCATGCGGTTTATCAGAAGATGTCAGAAGAATGAGGTGGTAGCTAAGGACAATATTATAACAGTAGAAGAAATCGAGACTGCGGAGACATTTTGGATCAAAAGAGCCCAAGAACAAATTGGAGAAACAAAGCATTGTCAGCTCACTGAAGATGAATGCGAATTAATGAGGTATAATGGTCGAATTCCAAACTACAATCCAATTTGGCTGCCAAGAAATCATAAGTTAACAGATCTTATCATCGCAGCGAATCACAGGAAAGTGTTGCATAATGGCGTATCAGCTACAATGGCCAGCGTCAGAGACCGATTTTGGGTTCCTAAGCTGAGAACAGTTGTGAAGAAATTGGACGGAAATTGTAACTGGTGTAAAAGATTCTCAGCAAAACCGCTACACTCCCCAACCAAATCAATGCTGCCAGATTTCCGTGTTGTGATGGATGAACCATTCGCCGTTACTGGAGTGGATTTTGCAGGACCCATCGAATACAAGCAGAACAAGAATAAGGTTGGGAAAGCCTACGTGGCACTATTCACCTGCACAAGCACAAGAGCAGTACACCTTAAGCTATGTAAAGATATGACGGCTGAAGAATTCAAGATCGCTTTCAAAGAATTCATGGCAAGATGAGGTACACCAAAGATGATGATCAGCGACAACGCCAAAACATTCATCACTACAAGCAAATGGCTAAAGAGATTGAAGAACGATCACATTTTGATGAACTATCTCGCAGAATGACGAACCAGCTGGCGATTCAACATGGCAAGAGCCCCATGGTGGGGAGGGTTCTTCGAACGTCTTATCGGCATAATGAAGAAAAGCTTGGCAAAATGATTGGAAAAGGGAGGCTGCGTTTCCATGAGCTTGAAGAGGTGTTATTGGACGTGGAACTTGCGATGAACAACCGACCACTCTGCTATCAAGGGGAAGACTTCGATCAACCAGTAATCACGCCAAATATGCTCATAAGAGGGGGTCACTCCATTCAACTGAAAGAAGACTTCGAGAACATGGAACCGCAGGAGAGATCAGCTAAACGTTTGATCCATCTAAAAAGAACCAAAGAGCAATTACGTAAAAGATGGATGGGGGAGTATATAAAAGCCCTAGAAGAAAGAAGAAGACACCGGAGCGATAAAAACCCCGAAGTTCCAAATAAAGGATCTGTTGTTCTTCTGAAAGACGATTTACAGATCAAGGCTCATTGGAAGATCGGGAGGATTATGAAGCACATCCAAAGTCTCAGATGGCACTGTTCGAGGATTAAAGATACGGCTGGGCAACGGCTACATCGTTGAGAGACCACTTCAACTCGTCTGCGATTTGGAGATTGGAGAAGATGTGCAGCAGACACCACTCAATCCAGAAGCCCCAACTTTTGTGCCGAAAAAAAGTCCAAATGCATCAGAAATCTGTCGCCCTCAGAGACAAGCGAAGTCGAACTCGAAGAATCAGATCATGGGCGTGGCACTTGAAGAAGAGGAAGAACTCAGTATGGAATATTAAAGCAGTAGTCACACTTTAATAGGGGGAGAGTGTACCCTTTGTCAGAAGTTTTAGAACATTCTAGAGAAGCTTACCTTTGATATTTGCTGACTGATTATGACATTTAAATCTTTATGTAAACACGTATATAACAACGATTATCCTATCCGTCATTTAGGCCAACCTTAATTTAATCGAACTTCCTAGTCAGCCTCGTTTTCATATTTAGCCTCGTAATAGTTGTTCTAGCTCTTTCGGGAGGTTTCTAGCTGTAGTAAATTTAGATTCTTATGTAATAGGTTGCTAACGTCATCATGACAGAGCTTTCAGGTAAATTCTAATTATAGTTTTGTGGACTCATGCTTATAATATAGGTTCTAGAACTTCCATTAGAATCGTATATATACCTGTAAACTTTCGGTAGGACTTACTTACGAATTACGAATTGCGAATCATAATTGAGAGTTTAACAAAATTGTGAGTTATTTGGTGTCACTGGGAATTCTATTCGAGCACAGGGCTATCTACGCAGAATTCCCCACAATGTGTCTGTTAAAATTTTCATGATAAGTGCAAAAAGCTTTTATTATTTCTTTCTCTGTTATATATTTTTTGATTAATTTTATACTTTTCATTTTAGTCGATGAAGAAGAGAGTATTCAGTCTGATGCAGGAAACTCTATGCACTCTTTGTCCTCTGCTTCTCTCTCTCAGGATTTGCATACTTCTTCTCGAAACTTGGAAATTATTTTCAAGGTTGTAAACCCTCCTTTTGATCCATCGAAAAGCTTGTCTTTTCAGGAATCTATGAGCAAATATCTTTATTTCATGCTCATGAAATTTCTCCTTCTCTTCTCCAAACAAGAAAATTTTCTAAGGCTTTAATAGGATCTAAAGACCTTGTTTATGATGAAATTCTTCCAAGAATTTTAGAGGATCTCTACTTCACTAAGATCAATGGCAATACTTCTTGTGTTCCTGGTGGCATCAATGCTATGAGCAAGATTTTCAATGATAAATTCTTTTATAAGTGTGTGTTTCGAGAAATTCGGACTTTTCTGAAAAATCGCAAGTCTTGCAAAACAAACACTCCTTTACCCATGACTCAAGGATCACCTCCAGTACCAATAAGATCATTCTTCCCTCATCAAAGAATACAGTATGATTTGATTGACATGGCAGCAAGAAGAAAAGATTATTTATGGCAGATAACAAATGGGGGTTCCGGTATATTCTTAGCATTAAGTGCTGTTTCAGTAAATTTTGCTGGCTCTTTCCTCTTCAACACAAGACAGCTGTCAGTGTGTATAAGGTTGCAAAATTTCTTTTTGATGTTGAAGGACCCCCAAAGGTTGTTCAATCAGATAATGGAAAAGAATTTGTTAATCACCTTATTACTAAACTAAGCAGATTATGACTTTGCTTTGGTCAGGGGTGAACCTTATACTCCTAGACATCAAGGCCAAGTTGAAAATTTAAACAAAACTGTCAAGTCATATCTTCGCAAACTTTTAGAAAATTTTTAGCAAGATGAACAAGGAAAAGTTTGGCCACTACTTCTTCCTGGTTTTGCTGATAAGATTAACAAATCTTATCACTCTACCATCGATGATATCCCTTTTCGAATCTACAGAAATAGAGATGTGGATTCCAATCGGCTACACAATAGTGCCTGATGACATTTCCATTTCCTCTCAGATGAGTCCAGCAATGGACTTTGAAACTCTTGATTTTGGTAATGAAGAGGTATCCTCATCTGACGATTGTTATAATGAGGATTATGATTATGATGATGATGAGAAAGATATCAATAAAAATGGAAAATCTTTCTCTGATGATTCCCTCTCCACCGGGGATGTAATGCAATCTTGTTTAGGATCTTCCCTGTCAAAGTCTTGCTTTGACGGCCAATTATCTGAAAACATCAGTGACAATGCGGGTAAAGTTTCGGTTGCATACACTGAGGATAATGTTCATGTAGAAAAGGAGTTTAGTTCCATTTCTTTTCAACAGTCCTTATTCTCTATTGCAACAAATAACTGCATCCGGAAACTTCACACATTAAATTTGACAGAATTTACCATTTATCATAATATCGAGAGGGATCTCAAAAATTGTCCTGGCGAAAAATTTATGGTAGGAGACAAAGTCCTGGTTAAAAATCCAGGTATAAAACCTTCTAGGGTAATAAAAAAAATATTTTTGAAGGGGAAATGGTTTTGTTCAAGGAAGCAGCGCCCTTGTCAAATGATGCAGCCAAAAATTATGTGGTGAAATCTACAAAAGCTCTTCTTGACTCGATTTCTGACTTTTCTTTACAAGTGAGACATGCTATGTATCGAAAAAAGTTCAAAAGGTCAAAGTCTCACATTCCAAATTGTCATTCTCTCTTCCAAAAATACTTCGAAATTCTCGACTATGGGGTTCTCGCAGAGCATTACAAAAACAGTGACGAATCAAAACATGAATATATGCATGAGCTGTACACATCTGGGTTGTTGGAACTTCAAAAAATTAGCTTTCCTTATTTTCTTTATGGTTCTGTTGCCTGGGAACGAACAAGGAAAGTTTGGTTGAGTGATCAACTGATGGAATTTCTTGGTTGCGATTCAACCCATAGCTGTCTTTCTTGTTTTGAAGATCTGTCTTCGATTTGCAGTCATCCTTGTTGTCAGCAAAGGGCTCTTAACTTTGCTGAAAGATGTAATTTCCAACTTCATTCTTTGAAAAACCGAGATGCACCAAGAAATTCTCAAATAGGTAGAAAACGAAAGGCAAAGCGAGAAACATCTTCAACAAAGTTGCTTTCACTAGTTCTTAGTGTTGGAGAGGGCAACTTGAAAAAATATCCTTATCTGTCAACGGATTTCTTTTAGAAATCCAAATGCAAGGCAACACAAATATGTGTGGCTTGTGCGCATTAAACAACAGTATTCTAGGCACTTTCGTTAGTCCAGAAATTTTAAATTATGTTGCTGACCTTACCTGGCTTCAACAGGCTCTAAATTCTGGTCTTTCAATTCAACTTGAAAAACAAAGATCTACTCTGGGTGATTATAATTTCGACTCAATGCAAATAGCAGCACAGAGATCAGGTTTTCCATGTAGACGGGTTGATAATCAGTTGGCGTCATTTTTCAATAGTGCAGACCCAGTTGGTATTGCCAATAATCCTGAAAATTTATACAAACAGATGATGGCAGCTATTTGTGTTACTTCTGGTGATCGTGTTTTGATGAGTGATACATTAGATCATTATGTATCTGTGCTTTTTCAAGAGAAGTACTTTGTTGTATTGGATAGCATGAAAGGGCCTTTGTTGTACAACGCTGAAGACGCTGTAACAAATCTTTGGCAACTTGTTTATGGCAACAAGTTCGGCATGTTCAAGTTCTTTTCGAATGTCATAACTATTTCAGATGATGAGGAGGAAAATATTGAGACATCTAAAAAGTCTTATACCATCCCCGAAATAATGTCTAGAACATCCACAGTTGACAGCAGTGAAGAGATTTCGAAGGTTTTCAAACATGTTACAGCTCATGACTTGCGTTCGTTGACCGAACCAAACTTTGTCAATGATGGCGTTATCTTAAATCATAGATGATTTGAAAGATGATGCCATGAAGACATATTTTCAAGCTTGCACCCGGACTTTGTTGAAATAGATGTAAGTATTTCACTCTACTTATCCTTATTAGTACTGTAGCCTTGTTAGATGTAAGTATACCTTGACTATTAGAACTATTCAAAATGCCATTCTAAATGAACCTTGTTATCTTAACTTCCCTAATGATTGATTTTTAGGAAGAGAATCTTCTACGAATCCATGGTGTTTCAATTATTCTTCTGCATCTGAATACTGATGTGAAGAGGTATATTTATTTAAAGAAGAAAGAGGGAAAGTCATTTAAGGAGGGCCATCATTTCTTGGCATGTAACCAAAAAGAACTCAGGGAATTTCAGGACTGGCGTGACAGGATTCTGACAATTTCAAGACAATTTCAGAACTGGCGTCTTGTCTGTTGAAAAATTGGAAAACTTTGCAAGATTCTCTTCCTAAAAATCTCTTCATAAAAATTATATGGAAACTGCCCCCTTTCGACGAATTTTGACATTCAAGAGGACTTTCTAGCAAAATG